AATACTTTATTCATTATCAGTCATATCCACCCTTGTTACTTTGTTAATACTTTATTCATTATCAGTCATATCCACCCTTGTTACTTTGTTAATACTTTATTCATTATCAGTCATATCCACCCTTGTTACTTTGTTAATGCTTTATTCATTATCAGCCATATCCACCCTTGTTACTTTGTTAATACTTTTTGCAGATTTTACAATCTTCAAAATAGACACAAACTTAAACCTTTTATTATGCAGTAGAAGCACTACCATAATCAGTTCCTATAATAAGTAACAAATTTTGTTTTCTTACAGCACTAATAGAATTAAGAGTGAACATCCAACTGTGTTATATTGAAGCTATTATTAACATCACTACTATAAGTAACAATGTACCTTAACCGTGTTATATTGAAGCTATTATTAACATCACTACTATAAGTAACAATGTACCTTAACCGTGTTATACTGAAGCTAGTAGATATTAATGTGATGGCATAAAGAATTCTACTAGTAGATATTAATCTGATGGCATAAAGAATTATACTAGTAGATATTAATCTGATGGCATAAAGAATTAATCTAGTAGATATTAATCTGATGGCATAAAGAATTCTACTACTAGATATTAATGTGATGGCATAAAGAATTCTACTAGTAGATATTAATGTGATGGCATAAAGAATTCTACTAGTAGATATTAATCTGATGGCATAAAGAATTATACTAGTAGATATTAACCTGATGGCATAAAGAATTATACTAGTAGATATTAATCTGATGGCATAAAGAATTATACTAGTAGATATTAACCTGATGGCATAAAGAATTCTACTAGTAGATATTAATCTGATGGCATAAAGAATTCTAGTAGTAGATATTAATCTGATGGCATAAAGAATTCTACTAGTAGATATTAATCTGATGGCATAAAGAATTCTACTACTAGATATTAATCTGATGGCATAAAGAATTCTACTAGTAGATATTAATCTGATGGCATGAAGAATTATACTAGTAGATATTAATCTGATGGCATGAAGAATTATACTAGTAGATATCAATCTGATGGCATAAAGATTTCTACTACTAGATATTAATCTGATGGCATGAAGAATTATACTAGTAGATATCAATCTGATGGCATAAAGATTTCTACTAGTAGATATTAATCTGATGGCATGAAGAATTATACTAGTAGATATCAATCTGATGGCATAAAGAATTCTACTAGTAGATATTAATCTGATCTAACATCTTTCCCATGAAATAATTCCCAGAAAAAAAATCCTTCTTTAGAAAATGTACACTTTTTCTAGATTTTTTCAATGAGGCATGAATACTATGATTTGTAATTACTAGCACAAACAGCTGCCTCATCAATCTCCATCTTTTGAAAAATCTCTACCTCTTGAGGTTTAGTTCAACTAATATTGTTACCTCATTAGTCTTCTCCTCTTGAGTTTCAGTTGAACTAATATCCTTACATCATTAATCTTCAACTTTTGAGGTTCACTTAAACTAAGATCCTTATCTCATTAATTTCCAACTCTTGAAATTCCATTCATATAATATTCTTACATCATTGATTTCCACCTCTTGAGGTTAAGTTCCACTAATATTCTTACCTCATCAATCTCAACTTCTTGAGGTTCAGTTTCAACAGTCTTTACTTTCACTTCTTCACTAAACTGAACAGATTTCTTTTCTGGAACTTTGTCTTTAAAGAAGCAAATTCATTTGCCATTAGTTAACATTGTCTTTCAGAAATGAAAAAGATCAAATTAAAATCTGATTTTATATAAGTGCTTTATAAATAAACTACTAATTTACATGCAACTTTGAATTTTAGTATTGAAGCAAACACTGTACAAAAACAATAAATAGTACATTTCTACTATGTACTGATGGTGACATATTTGCCAAAAGCTAAAGTGTAATTAGTTTGGGGAAAAAATTATCAACTTGTAATAAACATCCAATAAAGATAAATTTGTATGGCAGATCTCACTAGTTAATTCAACTATAACATCCAATATAGTTAAATTTGGATAATAGAGCTCACTAGTTAATTCAACTATAACATCCAATATAGTTAAATTTGGATGATAGAGCTCACTAGTTAATTCAACTATAACATCCAATATAGTTAAATTTGGATGATAGAACTCACTAGTTAATTCAACTATAACATCCAATAAAGATAAATTTGGATGATAGATCTCACTAGTTAATTCAACTATAACATCCAATATAGTTAAATTTGGATGATAGATCTCACTAGTTATTTCAACTATAACATCCAATAAAGATAAATTTGTATGGCAGATCTCACTAGTTAATTCAACTATAACATCCAATATAGTTAAATTTGGATGGCAGATCTCACTAGTTATAGTTGAATTAACATCCAATATAGTTAAATTTGTATGATAGAGCTCACTAGTTAATTCAACTATAACATCCAATATAGTTAAATTTGTATGATAGATCTCACTAGTTAATTCAACTATAACATCCAATAAAGATAAATTTGTATGATAGATCTCACTAGTTAATTCAACTATAACATCCAATAGATAAACTTGGATGATAGATCTCACTAGTTAATTCAACTATAACATCCAATAAAGATAAACTTGTATGATTGATCTCACTGGTTAATTCAACTATAACATCCAATAAAGATAAATTTGGATGATAGATCTTACTAGTTAATTCAACTATAACATCCAATAAAGATAAATTTGGATGGCAGATCTCACTGGTTAATTCAACTATAACATCCAATAAAGATAAATTTGGATGATAGATCTTACTAGTTAATTCAACTATAACATCCAATAAAGATAAATTTGG